ATCTTGATTACGAGCGTATTTGAAATGCAGTGTAATTCAAATACAATGTAATTGACACACATGTAATTCAAATGTAATGTAATTGACATACAATGTAATTGAATTACGATATAATTAACATACAGTGTAATTTAATTGCAATGTAATTGAATTACGATATAATTAACATACAGTGTAATTTAATTGCAATGTAATTGAATTACGATATAATTAACATACAGTGTAATTTAATTGCAATGTAATTGAAGTACGTTGTAATTAACACACAATGTAATTGAAATACGATGTAATTAACATACAATGTAATTGAATTGCAATGTAATTGAATTACAATGTAATTAAATTACAATGTAATTAAATTACTTTGTAACTTAATTCAATGGCGATCTGAATTACGAATTACAATGCAATTTATTTACTTTTGTAACTTAATTCAATGGCGTTCTGAATTACGAATTACAATGCTATTGAATTACTTTGTAATAATAATTCCTTGAGTAATTCAATTGTAATTCTGCACAACTTTGCCCGCGTGAATAAAAATCAGTTTTTCTGTAAACGGTATTTAATCATTGGCTAATATATACTGTTACGGCCAAGTGGCCAGGATTTATGGCAGGGGCCATGTGCTTGGGTACCCGGACGGTATGGGTCTGTCCCGGGCCGTTCCCGGGCCTGTTCGGGCACGTAGGCCCATCAGCGCGGGATGTCTAGCAGGAGTTATTTTGCCACTCTCCCTCCTAACTCCTGGCCCACCGTTTTGGGGCAGTCTCACTGGATTTGGGATTGCAGTGATTGGACCGTAATTCCTTGCCGCCCACCCTAGGTCAAGAGGAGTAGGGAGGACCGAGGTGATATTAGGGATGACTCCGGTCCTCTAGTAGACAGACAAGAGTAGAGACAAGACAACCTAGTCAGGAGAAGAACCTCGTCAGCGCCAACGGTTCACTACACACGAGACCACAAGGGACTCACTGGACACGAGACCACAAGGGATTCACTACACACGAGACCACAAGGGACTCACTACACACGAGACCACAAGGGACTCACTACACGCGAGACCACAAGGGACTCACTGGACACGAGACCACAAGGGACTCACTGGACACGAGACCATAAGGGACTCACAAGACACAGAAAAAA